CTGGCTCAGGGGTGTCCCCGGGCCTGCAGGCGGCCAGGACGGACTGGTTCTCAGGCTCTGGGCACCCAGGTGCTGCTGGAGATGTGGGAGAGCTGACTGATGTGGAAGAGTGAGGGGGGGGGGGCTTCGGGGTGCGTTGGGCCCCCGGCCTGCGGGGAGCGGGGGAGACGGGGCGCGGGGGCGCGGGGGGCTGCACCCCACAGAGAGAGTCCTTGGCAGTCCGCTGGCTGGCTTGGGTTGGTGGTCTCCATGCCTGGGAACACAGAGAGGTCTTCTGCCGGAGATTAGAAGGCGGCTCTGTGGGTGCAGGCCTGTTCCATTGTTCTCCACGGTGGATCCCAATGAATCAAGAAGCAGTCCATGGTTTTAAGATGTTTATTGTCATGGTGGAAAGTAGATGAGAAACTGTACCCCAGCCCTGTTTTTGGGTGGGCCTGAGGTTAAATACCTTTTGCAGGGAGGAGTGTCTGGGAAGGAAAGCTTAATTGGCTAAGCCCTTAGGTACCTCATTAATATGGAGATCTGTCTTGAGGCTCACACCTTTTACCTGTGGAGGGGCTAGTAAGGGTGTTGCCTTTATGTGACTGAAAGACACAAAGACCTTGTGTCAGGAGCCTAGAGTCTGGGAGCATGGCCAAACTCCTACCATCCCTTGCAGGGGTCACCTCAGGGGTCACTCGGGTTTCAAACCTAGCTCAACCAGAAACCAGGCTGCCTTTCATGGTCCTACAGGAAGTGTGTAGACTGCAGTCATTAGCAGGCAGAGCTGGACAGTCTCCAGGGAAGCAACCACACCAAAGACATGGTGGTTCCAGCAGCTGCGGGAGGAAGGCCCTGGGAAGCGGCTGCTGGGCAGCACAGTGAGAGCTCCCCCTGGTTGGAGGGCATAGTGGAAAGGCCTGTCGTGGTGCAGAGACTCCACTGACCACATACTGTTGGCAATGAATTGGCACCTATGTCTGGGTAAGTGGCTAAGGACTACAGTGGCATATTTAACATCAAGGTCCCCAAGCACCGAACACCAGCAGCCTTCTGGATGAGTGCCATTTATGTATTTGTTTATGGTCAGGTGCCATCCCTGAGTGTCTGCCATAGCAAGGCTTGGTCTGCTGCGAAGTATGTGGTTCCTACCACAGTGATAGAGAGGTTTGGTTAAATGCCTGCAGACATAGTTAAAGTAAAGACATTAACTAATTGTAATATAAGCTGCAGACCTGAATAGGGCCAAGCAGAGAATACTTTGATAAACCCTATTTAGTTGTCATTTTCTTCCTTGTCTTTACTTTCTTCTTTTTAAATCGTTATTGTGTACATGTGTGGACATGACATGTAGGTATGGGTATGTGCCAAGTTCAAGATGGGGAAACCCATTGAGTTGTTTCTCTACTGTTACCTTTATGTGAGTTCAGGAGCTTGAGAGGCAGGAGCCTTTACCTCTTGAGCCCTCTCACTGGCCAACTCTTTCCTTTATTCATTACACCATTGAGTTCCATTGCCGTAGGGAGAAGGCTCTCAACTCAGGCCTGTTCCGTGTTTTCTTCACTAGGCCAGAAAGGTATCAGAGACTTAGTTCCCAGACTTGGGACTAAAAATTCTCCATTTAAGCTTCCACATTTTCCCTTTCCAATTTATTAAGCATTTACATAAGAAAACTCATTCCAAGTGTTATTTACTATAGCTTTAAAACCCTGAATGTACTTTTCTTTTTTTCAAATGTTATATTTTATGTCCCGTCATTTTGTATGTAGTACTACAGAGAAAAAATTAACATTTATTAATCAGAGGATTAATAAAACTCATTAAAATTTGAGAATTAATTTCAGTCTTTAGAAATCAAGGATTATAGAATTATTCAATTTCAGAACTAGGAAACATTTTTAATGGATATTTTAAATTTTAAGCTTTAGTGCTCCTCCTTAACTTTTTATCCAAGATCATTGAGGTTCAGAGGGTAAATAAAGAGGCTGGGTAGATATCTCAGTTAATAAAATACTTGCTTGTACAAGCATGCTGACCCAAGTTCAGGTGACTGGTGGCTATGTAAAAAGCCAGGTAGTATAGCAGCACACACCTGTAATCCCCAGTGCTGGGGAGATAGGGATGGAGGATGCCTAGGGCTTACTGGCCAGCTAGTTTGCTAGGCTTCAGGGTCACAGAAAGACCCTATCTCAAAACTAAAAGGTAGTCACAGAAGAAGATCCCCAATGTTGACCACTAATCTCACACAAATGCTCGAGTGCACACACACACGCACACACACACAGACCACATTCACAAAAAGATAAGTGAAATCTATTGGGTGGAGGTGACAGATGTTCACCAAGCTTCGCACATTTTGTAAATTTGCACAGTGGTGGTTTTCATGCTTTCTGATGGTTAGTAATAGATAGTACAAAAGAGGAATACTGAGATATCAACTGTAGTGGGGAAAATTAAACAATTTTAATATTTTAATTACCACATCTTTTCTGAATAGCAAAGTAACATTTTTGTGGCAGTCTCTAGGATCAGAATGGTAGCTTAGTACTAGGGACAGTAAGTTTGATTTTTGTTTTTGCAAATCACATCATTAAATAGTGATTGCAACTGAAATTATTCCTTATAGACAAGCCAGCTCTACTCTCCTTTCCAGCTTTGCCTGTTGTGAAAGTGGGTCAGAAAACGCTGCCTCCCTGGGTAGTTAGGCACAGAAGACAGAAGGCGCCAGACTGGAACCTGTGCTGAGCAGGTTGGTAAGAGGGATGTGTCCTTTGAAGAGTCATGAGGATGGCCAGCTGTGGCAGTGTCAGCCTGAGATTTGGTCAGGCTTTGCTCCTTTCACATGTTCCGTCTCCCTCTGCTTTTTCATTAAGACAAACTAAAGTTAGGAAAGTTTAGCTCGGGTTCTGTTTTGCTCAAGGGAAGTCTTAACAAGGGAATTTTGTAAGTTCTTAAATGTTTCTGTTTGTCTTATGTGTTTTACTATAATCAGAGAACGAGTTGTTTCCAGAGCTCATAGCTATAGGAGCATAAGAAATAGTGTATTCTCTGTACAGTCAGACTATTGTATATTTTTATAAAATTGAGCATTTTGGCTATCTACTTCACATCTCTTGGCATGTTTTCCTTGGCTAATGTGACCTGTCACATTCTGAATGTGTGAAAACAACCAGCATGGTCAGATTTCACCACATTCTCTGTGTTTATAGAAAGATTAATTTAGTACTTGACTGATGTGCTGTTCATAAAACTTTCTTTGACATAATTCGAATTTAATAAATAGGGAGTGGCATATTTAGTGATTGAGTAGGCAAAACAGTCCATCACAAATTGTACATAAATTCAGTGCCATTCTGAGGAAATACAACATTTGTTCTGAAAAGGGAGCTGTTAGATCATCCTAACAGCAGAGAGTTGCTGAGAATGACAGAAAACCATCTCTATGAGGAGCTGGGCATGGGGACTTCTCCTGAGATGTATGAAAACAACCAGAATCGTACAGGATAAAAATGGTGTCATGTGACAGAAAAGAATTACAGAATTAAATCAATTGACTACAATAGAAAAAGCTCTAGGCTGTAGGAATTTACTGTATGAGACAGGCTGGGTTGCATTTCTCTGAAAGGAAGGTTTACTTGCTTGGCATTTTAGCATGAACGGCGACTTAAAAGAGAATAGAGTAGAGCTCTCCAGATAAAAGACCTAAGTGGAAACGCATGGCACTTGAGGAAATTTTAGGTGGCTGTCTATAAATTTTTGAAATAAAAAGAACCTGCATGGACAGGGCATACAATGAAGAAGAAATAAAATTATTGACATACTTAACCACATAATATCTTTAAAGTTCTAATTGAATACCCTTTAAATTATGTCAGTGTAATGTGTGACACATATGACAGCCAGCCATTTGATTACTACAGTCTTTAAGCAGAGATGTACACAGTCATAACATGAATACTTAAGGGAGTTTGTAGGCAGTTCATGGAAAAAAATGTGCATTTAATTGAAACAGTACAGTTGTCTTCCATACAAATAGGGAGGGAAAGCCAGGCGGTGGTGGTGCACGCCTTTAATCCCAGCATTTGGGAGGCAGAGGCAGGCGGATTTCTGAGTTCAGGCCAGCCTGGTCTACAGAGTGAGTTCCAGGACAGCCAGGGCTATACAGAGAAACCCTGTCTCCAAAAAACAAAAAACAACAACAACAAAAAACAAAACAAAAAAACCCAAAACAACAACAAAACAAATAGGGAGGAAAGTAAAAATTCAAATGACAGTGTTGGTAAGTTCCACCTGTCTGAAGGGCAGACTTTGAGTCTGAGCTCAGCCTTGGGAGGACCAGCATGGGTCACTCTGGTCTGTCCCAGGAGAAGAGAAGCAGGCGTGTGTGCATGAATAATACTTGCTCACCCATTAACAAAGAGATGAAGAAGTTGCAGTGCTCTGGGACTGTGCAGTATTTCACAGTGATTTAAAGATGCCTTTGGTAACAAGTATTGATTAAGAGTAATCATAATAAAGTAGAAGAGAACAAATATCAAATCGATGTAAATGACACACACTAGAAATTGTATGGTTATAGAGAAGGGTTTGGAAGGAGAGACACATGCAAAAATGCCAGTAACATTCTTAAATAATGTCTTTCAGTTCTCCGTCCGCTAACCCCCTGAATGTGCAATTTTGTAGGTGGTAAATAAGGTGGTTGTTTTTGGTTTTCTGAGACCAGATCTCATACTCTGGCCTCATAGTCCAGTGTTGCTATGGCCTTGAACCCCTCTTCTCCTGCCTGAATCTCAAGTGCTGGGTCCCTGGCATTTGTTATCTCATTCAGCTGGTAAGTATTTTGACTAGTGATAGTTTGGAAGAAATCAAGCATTTTGTAAATAAGCGCAGGAGAGGTCTTCTGTGGCGAAGCAGTCTGTGTTGGTGGCAGGTAGTCGTGATCCTTTGTTTTAAGGTTTAGATAAAGACTGACCTGCATTTCTGACATGCAGTGAGTTATATTTTCCTACCCTCTTTTGCAGTGGCAGCAGGCTGGGAGGTGTGGTCACAGTGATGTGCTTCTTTTTCAATCATGGAGAGGTAAGGAGACAGAATCACTACTAAAATACAAACTTCTTCCAATTAATTTAATTATGTTTAATTTGTAATAGTGTTTCTTAAACATTTGATCCAGTTATTTTGTCCCAGCTTTAAATACTAGTGGTCTCTTAAAGTGACTGGAGTCTTACTGATTTGAGCAAATAATTTGATTTTAAAGCCAGTGACTCTTATGTTAGGGGCAGTGCACTTTTACGTATCCTATTCAGACTATTTGCCAAACCTATAAATTCACAACTACTCCAGGCAGTGCAAAGATAGCAACATTGTCACGTGCCTGGTCTCTGGATCTATGCTGCCTGGTTTGAAACCCTAGCTTTTTCATTTATTATCTGTGATACCTAGGCAAGCAGTTACTCTGTCTATGCATTCCTCTGCTTTGTTAATGAGGTCATGATGTTATTTATCTCATGGAGTTATTGCATAAATCAGATGAATCCATGTGTGTAAAGTATCTAATACAAGGTTTAAAATATTAAGTGTCATATGCTTGTTAGCTCAGATTGGTAGTTTTATTCATCAGTAATAGTTTTCAGATAAAATCCTAATGCAGATTTTCACTACATTCCTTCCCCTAAATTAATCATACTTTTAATGACTTTTCTGGTGATATGTCTGTCTAGACTTCTCATGGAAATATTTGTGTGGAGTAGAAAAAAGATGTGTGAGATGTGTCCATCTTTTCTCTTCTTGCCCTGGGTATCTGCAGCCTTTCAACATACACAGGTTGCAGAGTGAGTAATAAGACGAGGGGCTGCTTGGCTTAGAGCGTTTGTGTGTGGGCACAGCAGCAGCAGCAGTGCATTGCTACAGCTGGGTTTGGCCAGTGGTGGGAAGGAAGGCTTTGGCTTTTTCCTGACGATTGATTCTGCACATTGTAATAGCCTGGGTCGGTGGATGGTTTAAAGCTGGTTAAGAGAATGATGTGCGAAATGGTAAGTCACTGCTTACTCTTCTGCAAGAAAGGAGCATTGTACGCTCAGAGTAGGATGTGGGGCGTGGGCTACTGAATATGTAGATCCAGATGCATCCAGAAAGGCACTGTTGTGGGGCACAGAGGGCCCTTGTGCCCCTCATGGTGTCCTGGGTTAGTAGTTTCTTCCTTACGTTTTTCTTACATTCTTGATGTTCAAGTAGTAGGAACATTGTTTCTTAAGATCTTCAATTCTAAAAAGACTAGTTTTTTTAGTTTTTTCCCTCTTGACAGTTTTTACCCATTTAATTTATTTAAAACATAGTTAGATATCATTTTCTTAGGAAAAGGTACATGAAACAATTAAAATTAGAATTTTAGTTTTATGGAAATGGCTAGTTACACTTATTTGCTGGTTTATGCCAAAAATGTTACATTTTAATATAATAACACTATAGTTTAGAGCATACACTACAGTTTTCGTAAACTATGGAAAGAATTCATGTAACCAAAAACTTTCTATAATTTTGTGTATCATTTGGCTTTCAGATTATGACAGCTTCAGTTCTCATTTTCTTCTGACTTTTTAAAACTACTTTCAGTTGAGTGCTTGCCTTTTATCTCAGTGTTCAAACGGCACGAGAGTGGCTCTCTGTGAGTTTGAGGCCAGTCTGGTCTATAGATTTTAGGTCAGCCAGGGCTACAGAGCGAGACATGTGAAGCAAAAAACAAAAGTGAGTGTGTGTATGTTTCTAAAGTATCCAATTTTTGTGTGACAAGAATCATCTACTCTGCTTATACCCATTCATGCACCCAGTAACTTTTGTAGAACGTTACACTGTGAAACACATTGTGTTTGTTTATTCTGTGAGTTGTTAGGGGTACAGATGGCCTGCCCTTCAAGTGACAGGACTAGACGGCTTTTAGATGTGTGCTGCTCATTGTCCATGTGTGCTCTGTGGGTCAGATGTGGGCTGTTGGGTGGCCTCAGGCTCCTGTACCTGCTGAGCCATCTTGCTGCCCCAGCACTTACTTTCTTAGAAGAGATATTTATTCATAGACATGAATTATTCACATACCAATACACACATATAGCCTGTTAGTTGCTTTTAAGTTCTGTTTTCATTAGTTAGTTGTCTTAATAGTGGATCTAAGACACTATTTGGTATATTGTAAAATGTTTTCCAACTGATGATATTACAAAGAAATATTTGCCTTAACAGAAGAACTGTTCTATTCATAGGGCATGGTATTACTTGAGGGTAGTGTACTTGCCTCATATTCTCAAAATACTAGGTTTGTTCCCTGATTACCTAAAATAATGTGAAGTGCAAATGGATTAACACAATTTTAAAAAATGATTTGAAAATCTTAAAATGTGAATCATGTGAAAATGGAATATAGGGCCTTTTCAGCATCATGAGTGACCACACAGAGGTCTGTACTCCAGGACAAAACATGAGGGTGAGCTTGCTTCTTCCTGTTTATTATGTTACTGTGGGATGCCAAGATGAGGAAAGCCAACAACTTTGCTGTTTGTCAAATGTTTCCTTGTCATAAGACCAGGAATGTATGCTCTAGGTCAATGGTGCTGCATACTGACTAAAAAGAATGGAGACTGGGGACTGCTCATCCCTACAGGGGACATGCATAGCATATCTTCCCCAACGAAACTTAGGACTCTTCCAGGAAGAGCAGGTAGAAAGACTAGAAGAGCTAGAGGTTGTGGTTAACATCAAGGAAATAGTATTTCTAGCCACTGCAGGGTAGCCACATGTGTGAACTCACAGTGATTGTGACAGCATGTACAAGCCCTGTGCAAGCTACAACCAGCAAACTCCCAGCGTTGAGTGGAGAAGGTAAGCAAGAAATCCCACCCTTAGCTGAGGAGCTACTAGTACTCCAGAGCTGCTGGGAGAGGGAGCATCAGGACTTTTGATGATGGGGCTTCCTGGTACATAGACCATGTTCACAGTGCAGGCCCCACCCCCAAAACAATCCAAGCACAAACAGTACTTGACTTGTGGTGGCAGGCCTCTAAGTTAGGGGAGGAGGGGAAGTGTAGTTAGGGAGAAAATAGCAAAAGAGGATTTGTTCAAAATAAGTTGTATGTAATCATCAAAAAATTAGTAAAATGGTCTTTAAACAAAAGATTATGGAGCCCAGGCTGGACTGTAGAAGTCAGACGATGAGCAGAGTAGTTCAGGGCTACAGGGAGAGTGGGTCCTGTGTTGAACAGAGACAGTGGGCAGAGCCGAGTGTCACAGCTGCCCATGTTGACATTCTCCTGGCAAGGTGGTTATCACAGGTTGAAACTGGTTAAATACCATAGAAAGATCTTAGAATGGGAAAGAAAATCTCTAGGAAAGCAAAATGGAGAAGAGAAAGAAGAAGCACTTGAGAACATAGGGAAAGTGAGCTTCCACAGTGTTCATCACAAGGAAGAACAAAATGATTCTCTTGATTTTTCAGAAACCTTTATAAACAAAAGAAACTGGGGGTGAGGTGGGGAATGGAAAGAGTACAAAGGACACCTCTGTATAGGGCGGGATGGTAGAGCTAATGATGCTTGCCTAACATCTGCAAGGGCCTGGATTCAATCCCTAGCACCACAAAGAACAAAACAAAATCAACTAGTACTGTATGTTCTTCAGTGTTGTGAATGTGTCTGTGTATGTGTGTGCGAGAGAGAGAGAGAGGGAGAGAGAGAGAGAGAGAGAGAGAGAGAG